GCGAGTGCCAGGAAAGGCTCCAAAGCTACACAGAGAAACCCTGTCTCGGAAAACCAAAATAAATAAATAAATAAATAAATAAATAAATAAATAAATAATAAATAAATAAATAAATAAAGATAAATAAAAATGAAACATGTTAAACAGTAGTAAAGTATAATTCATGTAGCAAGAATAAGTGCTTTCAGTTTTAAGAAGAGCTTCCCAGTACCAAGAGTCAGGCATTTATTTGCATTATATTAATAATTCATGATTTTTTTTTCTATTTTAGACTGTTGGCAGAGCTGGAACACTGCTGCCTCAAGAGAACTGTCTCCTGACTGCTGATACTTTGAGACTTCAATTGGTGGCACATTTTAAATATAACCTCAGATCAAGTTTTCAGGAAATAGACACTCCTTCCATCTCCTATCTACCCATTTCCCCTACCTAGAATTTGTTTGTGGGTATGCCGTTGCACAAAGTGACTCTACACTGGAAACAAGGATACCCTGAGTTATATTTACATTGGGGAAATATTGGCACAAATTCCTCAGGTTACTTGAGGACAGTCATGTACAGCCTGACGTTTACCTGTGTGTCACTCTGCCATGTATTTTTAGTACTGTGAGAAGTAGCAGCCCACAGTCATTTAGTATTAACTATACACCAGACCCTGAACTAAGGGTTATATAAAATACTGCTCCTTAGAAAGTTTCATAACACCTGATAAAAGTGTTACTAGTTCTCTACAGAGAAGAAAACCAAAACTCTGAGCATAAAAACCTGTGACAAAAACAATTGCTTTCCAAGAAATATCTCTTTAACTCTACTTCTGTGCTATAGCTTACTATGTACCTTTTTTCTATTTTTTTTTTTTTGAGATAGAGTTCCTCTGTTTACCCCTAGCTGTCCTGGGACTCACTTTGTAGACCAGAATGGCTGCAGAGACCCGCCCGCCACTGCCTCCTGAGTGCTTGGATTAAAGGTGTGCACTACTGACGTCCTGCTGCTTATTATGTACTTTAATTGGGTACAAATTGTTCGCAGAGGAATTCTTTACATGAGTGCATGTTTTACACAAAACCCAGCATCATAGATATGTAGACTAGCATTTATACCAACTGGTACAAAGAAATTCAAATTTTATATGGGGGATTTTGTCTAGTGTGGCATGAAACAATAAAAATTGGAAACAAGCCAGTGTCTATCTAGAGAGTGTTAATTATATAAATAAATCAGGGTCCCATTCTGTGGAATAGTGAACATCAAATTAGAACATTGACTAGCGGAGAGAGCACGGAGTGATGCCACAATGCACTATGGGGAAACGGTGAGCTCTAAGTCCATATATGCAGAATGGTGTCAGTTATTCACACAAATGTCAACACCTGGCATGCATCATTTTAAGTATGAAGATTTCGGCTGGAGAGAGAGCTCAGTGGTTAACAGCACTGGCCTCCCTTCCAGAGGATAGAACCTACGTTGGGTGACTCACAACTGTTATTCCTGAATCGGGTGGCCTCTTCCGGCCTCCGAGGGCACCCTCAAGCATGTGTTCATACACACACAGGTAGTTAAAAATAAGTCTCTAAGTGAATGATGCATACAAAGCACTCAAGGTGGTGGATCACTTATAGCAACAACTTAGTAAACATCCAATGGTACTGCTGTTATCCACTGTTTTCATCATTAGATAAGGATTATTTACAACAGCAAATAGAAGAGCCCATCTAAACTTTAAGCTTTTCCTGGCCCAAAATTACCTCTAAAATGTATCCATCTCTCACTGGGAAGTAAAACTTATAGACTACCATCCCTTTAAAATGGAGTCTTCTTGATACAGTCAAGTACGGGCATGGCCCTTTCTTTTCTGGGCCCACTCAGCTTTGATCCTTCTTTGATACACATGTCAATGGCCAGATACACATGTCAATGGCCAGGGGACATAGCAGCTTTTGGTTTGGGTTGGTTTTGATTTCTACTGTGGAGTTTGTGTTTCTTCTTTTTAGATTTCTGTAGGATTATCAGTACCTGGGATGTCACTTATTTGGTTTTATAATATAGTAGCATCTATGCTTTAGTTAGTATAGAAGCATAATATGCTCTCTGTTCTGGGTAAGCTACACACATCTCTATCCCTTACTAATCAACTTGTATATGGCAATGGTTGAAGTGGAAAAACTTGTTATATTTTACCACCTAAAAATGTTTCTCTATGGTGGTTTCCTTTTTTTTTTTTTAAGTATTTTATACACTCCCTGAGGGAGAACTTGGTCCTGACTGACAGTAGCTGAACTTCAGTCTCCTCTGTAAGCTGGGACATCAGTATTCACATCACAGGGCTGCTCAGTTTCTTAACGAAACATACGTTCCCTGCAGTAGTGCCTTTGATCACAGTCTTCCTGCCTCTGAAATGCTCTCCCCTCAGTCTAAGCATGAGCAAGTCTCACTCTTTAGAATATAATGTCAAAGTCCCCATCTGCCAATGACACAGAACAGGTGGTCACCTGTCCACCTCTGCTGCTACCATTCTCATTTGTTTCCTTCCTGGCATTTTTCACAGTTATGAACACACAGAAACCTGAGCAGACCACAGTTTCTACAGGTGCTTGGACCCACATATCTGGTATTCAAAGATCGGGAGACACAGAGTGCTTTGAAAGGTGTGTGCTATCAACACCCTCCAGCTTATACCTACTACCTGTCAGAATCCAACAATACGTGATGAAGGCTCAAAGCTTGAAGCTTGGTAAAGAGGGAAACAAACCCACAAAATGGCCAATTTCAGAAGTCCAGCAAGATGGAACTCTTCCAGAGTTGGTTCCTTCAAGACCTTAGCATGCATGGTAAACACAGCAGGGCGTCTAGTAAGGTTCTGCAGACACTGCATGTAAAGACCAACCTTTAATACTCATTACAATACTCCAGGCCAGGCTCTCTGTGTGCTACAGAAGATGCAAACTTGGCTCTGTTCTTATAGGGCCAGTAGTCTAGACAGCAGTTGGTAAATTATAGCCCAGGGGCTTGGGTTGGCCCATTGCCTGTTTTCTCTAGTCCTATTGAAACATCTTTGCTCATTCATCTAGATATTATTGTCTATGGATGCTTTAGTACTGCAGGAGAAGTGTAAACTACAGTATCACCATAGAGACCACGAGGACCCAGATCCTGAAGTACTTACGCTCTGGTCCTTTATAAAAAAAGCCTGCTGCCCCTGAAACTGTAATGAAAGCAAATAAAGTCAATAAAACAACTATTTGGCATCGAATGTCCAAAGCCAAATAAAATTCACAACCAAGTGGGCAAATAGCACATACTATGGGAATGTGAAATAAGCTACCTGATTAAGTGGTGGGGAAATGTCCCTTCACAACAAGAGTTGCCATTTTGACTTGGGAGTATTCTTTCCCTCACTATTTCACAGGTGTACACCAGAAAAGATGTACACCAGACAACCAATAGGATGACATGCTAATGGTATACCAGCATCTCCCTTTGAAGCTGTGGTTGTTAACGTTCCTACACACCTACAACCAAATAATATGGTATTTTATTTGTTTGTTTTTTGAGACAGGGTTTCTCTGTGTAGCTTTGGAGCCTGTCCTGGCACTTGCTCTGTAGACCAGGCTGGCCTCAAACTCACAGAGATCTGCCAGCCTCTGCCTCATGAGTTACTAGGATTAAATGGGTGCACCACCAATGCCTGGCAACAGTATTTTTTTTAACAAGCATTGAGTGTGTGTGTGCGCATGCACTTGGGCACACATATGAAGGCCAGAGGACAACTTCGGGAGTCAGTTCTCTCCTACTATCAAGTAGCTTTTAGGGAGGGAACTCAGCTTGTCAGCTTTGATGACAAGCACTCTTAACCAATGAGCCATCTTGTTAGCTCTCAAGATGCCACTTGCCCCCTTAATCTCTATATTACAACCATGTACTAAAAGGAAAAACAGCTTGATGTGATGGCACACACCTGTAATCTCAGCATTTTTGAGGTAAAAGCCAAAGGCTCAAGAGTTCACAGCTAAGAAGCTGGCTTAGTGGGTAAAGTGTTGCCAAGCAAGCCCAAGGACTTGAGTGCAGATTCCCAGGACACATGTTAAAATCCAGTATGGCACAGCAGTGAGTTCCTAGATTCCCAGTGCAGAGGAGGTAGGCACAAGCAGAAACCTGGGGCTCACTGGTTAGTCAATCTAGCCAAGTGAATTAGTTCTGGGTTCACTGAGAGGCCCTGTCTGTCCCACAACATAAGATGGAGAACAAAGGACGTCAAACCCTGGTTGACACACACATAGACATACACACACAGAAAGAGTTAAAGGCCAGTTTTGGCTGCTATATAGTGTTTGAGGTTAATCTGCACTATCTGAAACTTAGTTTAAAA